ATGTCTCCTTTGTTTAGGCTACCATATGCTTGGTAGTATGTGATATCTCTATCTATTTTGGTCAGATGCCTTTGCTTAGGCTACCATAGAGATTATCATTTGAGTCGATTTTAATTTTTAAGAAAGTAATTAATTATGTTAATTGTAATAATAAAATATCTCTTTAATTAAGCATCTTTTTCGAAACACACATTTTTCTCTAACTTTCATTTTCTTTGTCTTCTCTCTAGACTCACACGTAGTTCCTCTCTTCTTTAATCCAAAATTGCATCCAAGATGTAATGTTTGCTAGTCATGGTGCTACAAGATTCCTCTACAACAACTATCGTCGAGATTCTCTGCACCATCTCTCACCCTCGATGAGGTTGTTGTGTACCAAGATAGTTGTCGTTTTGCCTCTTCGTTGTAGCTCTAATGGTCTCCATCCTCTATGACATTTCTCTTCTTTTATGTTCGATTTGTAAATTGTGTCATGTTGCATTTGGTTTAGTCCCACATACTACATTTTCTTCTTCTTCTTCTTCCCTTTTAGGCGCCCTCCATTCCTCCACGATGGTGATTTTGGCTTTGTTCTACTGAGGTTTATGTTTAATTAGGTTTTGGACTCTTTCGGCGTCGACTATAATTAACATTGAAAGGTTTTTTATAGTCATGATTTTCATCTTCATCATTGTTATCCAATAATTTTGATGCTTGTAGACTTATTTTCTCCCGTGCAAGGTGTGATTGAATTCTCCGACCCTATACTCTCTTGTAAGTTTTAGATCTATTGAGATTTACACGTTTCAAGGTCTAGTTTGTCTCCACTGCACCAAAATATTTTAGGTTGTTTATATTATTAGTGGTTCGTGGATTCTATCTTTGGTTCAAATCTATTGTCTTCGTTGTCTTAAAATCTACTTCAATTTGTTTTGATTGATTTAGGACTATTTGGCCAATTTTTTTTTGTGATTGCTTGTTATAGTTATTGATAATGAATTCATTATCGTATTGGCGATCAAGTTTATTTTCCGTATTCAAAATACAAGTTCCTTGCTCGTCATTTCACATATCTGTGTTTTTTTTGCAATTTAGTTTCGTAATATAAGTGGTTCACACAATTTTGCATGTGATGTGTGACTGGCTATTTTTGAATTCATATTTGCTTTAATATTTTTTACTAAGGTAGACTCTATGTCCCCCAGTCTTTTGTATTGTTTCTTTTTATTTTAATCTATTTAGGATATTGCATATTTTTATGCAACCTATTTGCTAAAATAAAGTTATATTTGTTAATATTCTAATTAAATTGAAGTTAAATTAATAATAAATTAAGTTAAGATAAAATAAGTAATAATATATTAAATAGAGAAAAATTAATATTTTTGAGTGAAAATTAAATTAGTACAAATAAATATTATAAATTAATTACATATAATGAGACAAATGGATTAATTAATAAACTAAAAAACAAAACTTAAAAAAATAATATGTCTAATAAATATGATTTAAATTATAAAAGACACTATAGATGATATTATTCCAACCAGATTGCAGTGCTTAATTAAATATGATATAACCCAATATATAGTTCTTTATATGCTTTAATATATAAAGGGTCTATGAACCGTTGGATCAGATAGTAAGCGAATAATAACATCGTCGTTGTGACATCAGACTGAGGTCATTATTTTCTTAGTTGTAATTCATAAGAAGATTCAAGGACTACAGATCATGAGATGAGCATGTTATAAAGGGAGACTTGATCAGGGTTAGTGATTGAAGCATGATCTCCAGATTACATAATGAATAATTATATGACATCTCTCCCCTTTTTGGACAGTTGTCTTAGACTAATGGTTCTACGACCTTGAAATCCTTGAACATTGTTAATAAAAGCCAATGAATACGTCACACAAGTTACACACTTTATAACACAAAGATACTTCTCACCTTCTCACCTTACTAACTTGGGTGTCAAAGTATCTGCATGTTGTACTAATCAAAAAGTACATACGTGTGTGTTCCTTCTGCAATGGCAAGGGACTCAGACGCCTTAATAGGTATATTACCATGTAAGGTGGTTAGGGCTTACCCACAATGGAGAGAAGCCCTGTATGATGATGTTTTACGATGGTTTAAAGGCTCTGTTCACGTGACAAGAGAATTTGTTATTGAGTGTGTGCTTAGGTGTAAGCATATATGGGGTGTGGTCTGTATGGCTTAAGATCTGTCATTTCTTCCCTTAGGGGATATATATTTATAGAGCCCTATCTGGGCCTAGGATTTTTTTAGAAAAGGTCACGACCCACTTGGTCAATGGTGGACCGTTGAACCCCTATTTCCAAGCGCAACGTGAGTTAGTTAATGACCCTAACTTCTCTCTTCCCAAGAAACAAATTATCCCACATTTCCCATGATTGGGCGATAGGAAAGCCTTAGGGAAAAACAATACCTTTCTTAGGGTGGCAAGTTATCATCGCCTCTTCTGGGCGAGTTTTTCCCAGGGGCGTTATCTCTCACAGACGGATCCTTTTACAAATATAACACTTCATAGTTCCTCAAGCATGAAGCCTTTGATAGAAGACATCACTTTTATGGATGGTGACTCAGGGGAGTATCTCGAGGACCTACATTTCTTAAGGGCATACTTCTTTAAGAAAGTTTATATGTGACCCGACTGATGAGGATATAAGTCCATCAAGCGAGGCGATTAACCTCTTAGGCGGGACTTTTATTAGGCCCTAAAGCAAGACTTGTGATCAACTTTCTTAAGCCAAACTTCAGTCATGCCTCTTAGGCGTGGTTTCTGATTCTGATCCTGCTAGAGGAAACTCTAAGTCCTTCAGATGAGAGTTTAGTTTGCCTAAGGAGTCTAAGTCCCTCAAGCAAAGTTATATATGGGTCGACTGATGAAACTGTAAGTCCATTGAGTGAGGCATTTGGACTTCTCGAGTGGGACTTCCATCAAGCCATCAGGCATGACTTGTGATCAAGTCTCTTAGGCCAAACTCAGTGCACCTCTTAGTGTGATTTTTGAGTCGGATATCGCCTGAGGAAACACTAAGTCCCTCATGTAAGAGTTTAGTTAGCCCAGGGAGTCTAAGTCTCTCAGACAAAGTCATATGTGGTCCGACTGATGAGATTATAAGTCCCTCAGGCGAGATGTTTGGACCTCTCGGGCATGACTTCAATCAAGCCTTTAGGAAAGACTTATGATCAAGTATGTTAGGCCAGACTCCAGTCACACCTCTTATGCGTAATTTTTGAGCATGATCCCGTATAAGGATACACTAAATCCTTTAGGCGAGAGTTTAGTTAGCCTGTGGAGTCTAAGTTCCTCATGCGAGAGTTCTGTTAGCCTATGGAGTCTAAGTCCCTCAGGCAAAGTCATGTGTGATCCGGTTGATGAGACTATAAATCCCTCAGGCGAAGTGTTAGTAACTCTCAAACAAAACTTCCATCAAGTCCTCAGGCAAAAGTTATTATCAAGTCTCTTAAACTAGATTTCAGTTGCACGTCTTAAGCGTGATTTCCGTGCCTGATTCCGCCCGAGTGTTACGAATTAGGCCAATCATGTTTTGACTCATTTGGCTTTGAACAACTCAAATAAAATTTAGATTGTAGAGACTCCCAAACCCATAAAATAATATTGTAATAAATAATAATAATCCCGTCACTAAATATAATAACTTTTAGAATAAATCATGATAATTCAGAAAATTAATTGAAATATTAATCTTGTTGGTGGTTGTATAATTTTATAAATTTATCTTTAGAAAAAAAATTATTTAATGTTTATGTAAGAGTATTTGATGTAGATTAAAAAAAAAATTAATACATTTTAAAATATCATGAGAGTCTTATAAAAAGAATAAAGAAAAAAACTCAAAAAAACCTTATAAATTATAAACAGAGATAATATAAAATAAAATTAATACTAACTTGTACCATAAAAATACAAGAATTAAATATAAGTAATTTTCTTGAAAATCATGGTTTTAACTTAAAAAAGCCAAAATATTATATCATTTAATGATGAATTTTTTAATTTTTTGATTTCTTAATTTGTGCTCTTAAAACGAATTTATGACAAAAATTAACAAAAATCCATAAAATAATTCATTTCAATTTTGTAAATAAAAAATTTGAATTTGGAATGGAGACAATTATTATCACCCCTTTTCCTAGGTACTACTACAACTATAGTGGCACAATCTCTCTTGATATTTTTGACCCCATGATAATGCTACCCTATCATATTGGCATGGCACACTCCACCTTGCTTTTTCTGCACTCACTCATAAAATAACAGCAATGATGTTTTCATATATTAAATAATACAACCCCATTTTACTTTTTTATATTTTTAAAATATATTTAAATTGTAGTAAAAGATATAGTAAAAAGTAAAAAAAAAGTGAAGGACAAGAATACACCAAAACATTAGAAGAAGACAAATGTCACACTTCACAAGTAGCATCCCAATGCTTTGAAGTTGAACTAGTGGAACAAGATGTAACTAAAAAACACTCAAAAAGTACAACCAATCCAACGGTCAATATTCCATCACATATTGCATGCACTGCACCATGCACACACTTTTCAGTTTTCACATTCTTTCTTTACGGTAATGATTTTTATGTGACTTTTTTTTTTATTGAAATCGAATATATTTTGCCCAGAGAGACAACCACAATAAATAATAAATTTTTTTAAAACTTTTTTATTTATTTTTAATATTAATGCATTTCTAGAATTAAATTTGAATCTTATGCACAATTGGAAAAAACTATTATTATTATTAATTTATTTTATTTTTCTATGCTCTCTTTATTTTCTGACTTTTCCACTTCTCTTCAAGCTTTTGTCACTTCCTCCACCATCACTTCTATACCTTGTTCAGAAAAAGAACTCATTCTAAACACAAACACTGAACATTACACAAACCTCTTTAAACAAGAATCTGAGTTAAGAAAAAACAAACTTTGTTTTTCTTCTTAACTTGAATCCACATAAAAATGGGGTGTTCACTATTTATCTTTCTAACCATTTTTTTAATGGTTTTAGTTTCAAGCCCAAAAAGTGTTTGTGGAAATGCTGAGCTGAAAGCACTTATGGATTTGAAACATAGTTTAGATCCAGAAGGGCATTTTCTCTCTTCATGGTCAACAAATGGTAACCCTTGTGACAATTCCTTTGAAGGTGTTGCTTGTAATGAAAAAGGCCAAGTAGCAAATGTTTCATTGCAAGGAAAAGGGCTTTCTGGTAAACTATCACCAGCCATTGCTGAACTTAAGCACTTGACAGGACTCTACTTGCATTACAACTCTTTGTATGGTGAGATACCAAGAGAAATTGCTAACTTGACTGAGCTTAGTGATTTGTACTTGAATGTGAATCATTTGTCTGGTGAAATCCCATCCGAGTTTGGCAAAATGGAGAGTCTACAAGGTGAATTGGTTCTGTTTTTGTTGTAAAGTTTGGAACTTTTTGTGTTCTGCATCTGGGTTTTGCTTCAAGTTTGTTTTTTTACTATGTTTGTATTAATAATTTGTTTATTCTTTGTGCTATTTTTTATTTCTTCATATAATTGACTTTCTATATTCCTTTTCCAGTTCCACCATCTAATGGTGTTTACTCTTAAACTACAATTTCCCAAAATAGGTACTTTTGAGAAAGGAAATTATTGCATGTATTACTTTCTGCAACCACTAGTTATGGTTTTTTTGAAGAGAAATCTGCTCTAGAAGACACTTTATGAAACTTAAAATTCAATTTAGAACTACTTAATGTCTTGTGCTTTAATGGCAAGAGGTAGGTATCAACAAATGAGTTAAGATGGTAGCTATACTATTAGGTTTTGGTAATTTCTTGTTCCTTTTGTTTTTCTTTTTCTAATATCTATTCAAGTAGTTTATGGTATTTTTTCTTGAAATGATTTATGTTCTTTCTGTATAAATCAACATTTTCTGAAATCTATTTCATAAGAAATATGAATATATCACTATCACTATCCATATAATCACTTCAAAATTGCTCATTTTTCTACTGACTTTTTTTTTTCAAGTTTTTGTTTCTAATTTGGGAATATACTTACTTTTGTATCTGTACTTTGTTTCGTAGTTTTGCAGCTTTGTTATAACCAGTTAACAGGAAGCATACCGACTCAGCTCGGCGATTTGAAGAAGCTTAGTGTTCTTGCTCTACAGTCAAACAAATTAGCCGGAGCTATCCCTGCTAGTTTGGGTGAGTTAGGAATGTTGATGAGGCTAGATTTGAGCTCTAATAATCTTTTTGGTTCGATTCCAACAAGGCTTGCTGATGCTCCTTTTCTTCAAGTTCTTGATGTTCACAACAATACCCTCTCCGGAAATGTACCTCCTGGTAATAAATTTGCTACTTTTTGATTTTATTTTACCGGCTCTTTTATATCTTCATTAATGTAACCAAGGTTTTAAATAACGGCCGTGGTTGCATAAAGGCTTTTGCAATTTCGGTTGCTACAGGTGTATAATTGTGATACTGATTGTGGTTGTGAATTAACCATAATTTCTTTTTCATCATAGAAACGGTGAATAACGGTATCAGTATTGACACCTTTTGATACTGTTTTGTCGCAGTTGTTTTCGCTATAACGTACCGTTTTTTAAAACTTTGGTTATAACGACTCACATTTAAGGATTGAAATGACTTTCTTCTCAACATGACTGTCTACTTGTCGGATTGGTCTCTTTTGTTTTTTTATCCAAAGTAGATAATTATTTCGTGTAACATAAACAAGGCTGACATTTTTTCCTTTTTTCATTGAAGCTCTGAAGAGACTAGATGATAAATTTGTGTATGAATACAATTTGGGACTATGTGGAGAAGGATTTTCATCCTTGAAAGCTTGCAATGCTTCAGATCATGCCAATCCAAACAGGCCTGAACCTTATGGAGCAGGAGTTGGTGTTACGCAAAAAGAAATTCCAGAAACTGCAAATATAAAGTTGCCTTGCAATACAACACAGTGCCAAAACTCATCGAAATCCAAAAAAACAGTGTCTATTACCGTTGGCTTAGTTCTGGCGACAATTGCAGTGTCAGCAATAGGCATTCTAGCTTTCACAATGTATCGTCGGCGGAAGCAAAAGCTTGGTAGTGCCTTTGATATCACCGAAAGCCGTCTAAGTACTGATCAAACCAGAAGTATTTACCGGAAAAACGGATCTCCTTTGGTTAGTCTTGAATATGCTAATGGATGGGATCCTTTGGCAGATAGCAGACATTTCAACGGAGACAAGCAAGATATGTTCTCGAGTTTCCGGTTCAACTTGGAGGAAGTGGAATCTGCAACTCAGTATTTCTCCGAGTTGAATCTGTTGGGTAAGAGCAACTTTAGTGCAACATATAAAGGAGTTCTAAGAGATGGATCTATTGTCGCTGTTAAGAGCATTAGTAAAACTAGTTGCAAATCCGATGAAGGTGAGTTTTTGAAGGGGTTGAACATTTTGACATCATTGAGGAATGATAATTTGGTTAGGTTGAGAGGATTTTGTTGTTCGAGGGGACGAGGGGAATGCTTCCTGGTTTATGATTTTGTTTCAAATGGAAATTTGTCGCGATACCTTGATGTTAAGGAAGGCGAAGGTGAAGTCCTTGAATGGTCAACTAGAGTTTCAATCGTAAAAGGAATTGCTAAAGGTATATTTTTCTGTCCTCTCTTTTATTAGAATGATTTTCAATCTTGATGTATATATTTCTGTAGCACCGACACCTCTGGAAAAAGGTGTGTCCGTGCTAGTGTCGGTGTTTGAAACCAATGCCCTCACTTGTTATTACGTTAAGTTATTCGTTTTTTTAATTATTATCGGTATCAACGTGTCAATGTCGATTTCGTGTTTCCAGTGTGTCCGTGTTTCATAGGTGTAAACTGAAAATCTTGATTTGTAATTCAGGCATATCATATTTGCATGCTTACAAAGCAAACAAACCAGCTCTTGTTCATCAAAACATCTCAGCAGAGAAAGTCCTCATTGATCAGCGACAAAATCCAGTACTCTCTGATTCCGGCCTATATAAGCTTCTCACCAACGACATTGTCTTTTCTTCACTTAAGGGCAGTGCTGCAAAAGGTTACTTAGCTCCAGAATACACCACCACAGGCCGGTTCACAGAAAAAAGCGATGTCTACGCATTTGGGATCCTTCTTTTCCAAATACTCACAGGGAAGCATAAGATCACTAGCTCAATGCGTCTTGCTGCAGAATCCTTCAAATTCCAAGAATTCATCGACCAGAATCTCCACGGAAGATTCTTCGAATACGAGGCGGCTAAACTAGCAAGAATGGCATTGCTTTGCTCCCATGACTCTCCCTTTGAGAGGCCAACTATGGAAGCTATTGTTCAAGAACTTGCCAATTGTAGCAGTTGTCTTTGATTTATGTTTTAGTTTAAAATACTCTTAACCATCACTAACACCTAAGTTTTATTTTGTTTTGTAACCTATGATGAAAATGTTTGTGATGGTGATGATTTTCTAATGTATGAACATGGCATTGTTCTACGTCCTTATCTAAAGGACTAGCTTTTGTGAATGTGTTGGATAGTTGTTAGGCTGTGTAGCTTAGGGAAGGGAATTTTATTTCCAACTCTCTTCAATGATGAAAACTCTAACATCAGTTAGTTCTTGAATTTATTGTTTTTCTTTATTGATTTGAGTGATGGTTTATCATTTATATTTCCAACTCTCTTCTTTAATGATGAAAACTCTAACATCACTTAATTCTTGAATTTGCTGTTTTTTTTATTGAGTTGTGTGATGGTTTATCTTTTATACTCCTTCCATTTTTATACCATTTTTATTTATAAATAAATTTTAATATTTTAGATTTATTAAAGAATTTAAAAATTAAAATTTACTTATAAAAAAAAAAATGAAGGGAGTATTTAAGAAGCACTGACAAACGACATTGAGCTGGTAGTTCTTTCCATGGATACTAGAAGTCTTTTAAGCTCATTTTATCTTAGGAGTTAAAACTAAGTTTTTAAGCTCATTTTATCTTTTAGTTTGTAGTTTTTTTTTACTAATTTTTAGTTTTTTTTCAAAAACTATTTGAAATAGTTCAAATAGCTTTTAAGTTTATAGTTTTTACCTTTAAGACTTTTTCATTCATTTGTACTCTAACTATTTTATCAAAAATTCATTTTTACCTTTTATATTATTATAATGTAATTAAAATAATTGTGTTTTAATTGAGGGAATAAGAAAAGTTATTCATTATTTCTACCGAACAAATTCACGATATAATTCATCTTCTATTTTGTTATTAATAAAATATTTTGACTTATTACATTGAATTTTTTTTAAATTATTATTTTAATAATTTATTACTTGATTTTTATTATTAATGTATTATTTTTATAAATATGATAATGAATGATTGAATATATTTGTTTATTAGTAGACATATCATAGATTTTGAGAGAGAAAAAAAAAAGTATGCACTATATTAAAATATAAGATCAAATTACGATATTATTATTTTAAGTATTTAAATTTCATTACAAAATTTATATACAAGTGTTTAATATATTTTTGTGTTATGTTTAATTATATATATATATATATATATATATATATATATATATATATATATATATATATATATATATATATATATATATATATATATATATATATATATATATATATATATATATATATATATATATATATATATATATATATATATATATATATATATATATATATATATATATATATATATATATATATATATATATATATATATATATATATATATATATATATATATATATATATATATATATATATATATATATATATATATATATATATATATATATATATATATATATATATATATATATATATATATATATATATATATATATATATATATATATATATATATATATATATATATATATATATATATATATATATATATATATATATATATATATATATATATATATATATATATATATATATATATATATATATATATATATATATATATATATATATATATATATATATATATATATATATATATATATATATATATATATGATCACTATTTAGATATGATCACTATTTATATATATATATATTAGTGTGTTTATTTTTATTGAATAAAAATTAATTTAATAAATATGATCACTATTTTTTTTAATTAATAATGTCTCTTTATGTTATTTTATATTTATCAGCTAATGTAACTGCTAATTTATCAAACATTTAAATTAACTTATCAATTATAAGTCATCAATTAAAAATTACGAGTCAGCAGCTATAAGTTACCATCATTAATTATTAACTGCCAACTAACTTATCAGATATCAGTTAATTTAAACAGAGCCTAAAAGAAATTTTCGCCGTGACTTGGTATGTTGTGGCGTAGACTATTTAGATATCCAGTGTCTTAAAGAGTTGTATCATATGCCTTAATTAATAGCGAGTAAGAGTTGTTTCCTATGCTTTAACTAATAGCGGATCAATAGTTGTATCTTGTTTTGGAGGTGGGTGGAGCTTTTGAGAATGTGTGCATGTTATAAAGTTTTTTGTCTCTTTTGGTTTTTTTTTTATAATTGTTTTTCTTTGTTTCTTTTTGACACTTGTGTCAATTAAATCTGATTTGTTGTTGTTTTTGGAGTTAGTCTCTTATTTTTTTCGTATATTAAAAAAATAGTTGACACAATGTTAATATGATCATTTTAGTTTAGTATTTCTATTAGATTGTTAAGTATAAAATAATTTAGTTATCCTTGACATTTTTACAATTTTGATTGAAAATGTGAGGTCAACTTGTTTATAAAATGTTATAGACTTGATCTATTTTGATTTTAAGATTTATATAACTTAAAAACCTACTAAGTCTAGTTTTAATGAATTTCAAAAATAGATCCATAAGATTAAAATCACTTTATCTTCAAATCATGTTCAGAATCTAGAAAAGATTTATGACGATTTGACATATTTGATAGAAGTAGAAATGAGATAAATTTCCAGGCTAAGTACAAATAACTAATCATTTCGACACTATGCTTCACGGTTTGATAGAAAAAACCTAAAGAAGTAGTTAGAAGATTTGAAAAGGCATTTTGAAACAACAAGAGCAGTTCAAAACAGTTTGAATGTCAAAGATACGTGAAAGCAAATTGGAAGGCTGAAGCCCACATAAGAGAGTGCGTGTTGAATCCTGTAAAAGTAGTTGTTATCGACGGTTAATATTGTCATAGTATATCAGACAAGTTCAATCACATAAACAGGGATTACGAAATTTATTAAGTATTCTCAATAGAACTTAAGTATCTAAGTCACAAAGAGAAAAAAGTTTATGAGAAAATGTATGAATCTGCATCCTTTATTTTAATTCTTTAAATTCGAAGCACTTACATGAAAGATCTCTTATATTCTTTTCTTATTTCTTATTTTCGAAGCAATTATGCATTGTTTCAGTTAAAGTTTACATTTAAATTCTTGACGTTCAAACATCAATAGTCATAGCACAAACATATTTTCTCAAATATTTGCCCAAATATGTCCTAAGATTTTTTCAAGTTTAATCCTATAAGTGAACGAAAACTTGTGATTTGATTCCAAAAATGACGGTAAACAATTGACACGCTCAATGAGACTCTTTCTGTGCAACAAATTAAAAAAAATTACAGGAAGATTTTGTGCATTTCTATGTTAATTTTGTTCTTCGTTCATGAAACACTTTCAATGTCTGAGTGTTTATGCGACTGAGGAATGGTAAAACTTTAGTCGAGATGACACGTCCAAAAAACACCCCCTTCCCCAAAATAACGCTCCAAATAATGAAGAACAACTAACAAAATTGACGGTTGGTGGTGTAGGCACTTCAACAACTATTGGAGTAACCACCCCTACTGTGAGTCAAATGTCGGTTTCGACGACATTACTATAAGTGGTGGTTCCGCCACCACAATTAACGAGTATTCCAACTACTCTCAGGGCCACACAAGAATTTGTAGGAGACCTTAGACCTTCTTTTTTCCTAAGTTTTACGCTACCCATAGTAATAGAAATGTCCATATGACATGCAAACTACAATGATGGAAGGGCTATAAACTAATGCATATATGTATGCAGATAATGAAATAACCATTGCACCCCCTCTCAATCCTTACTTAGCGTCAGGATCTGCTATAAGCAATCCCAATCAAATGGCACAATCACAGGGAAGGTTGGGATATATTCCTCAACTAATGCCATCCCAAACCACCAATTCTCTCATGTCTGTGAGGCGACAAATGGATGAAAGCAACCGTGAAATGATGAATATGCTTACACATTAAATTGGTGTTGTGTTTAATCCTTTGATCCAAAACACAAATCATACTTACCAACAATTGGCGCATCAAATGGGTCGAATCGTTGATTTTTTTGGCGTCCCTCAAACGCATATCTAGCCAATTCCTCAAGTCCAAATATAGGAGGTAACTTAAAACCCAGGTCTCCCTAATAACCAAGGGAAACAATTGGTTGTGCTCAACAAGTCAAACAACCTGCAAAAAGGGTATTTAAATCATGCGTAGGCCAAAATGGCCTAGAGTTGGTATTGGTCAATATAAATTGGGATGCATACCAACTAATTTGGGATGTCCAACAAAATAATTTTAAGGAAAAAAATAACATATCCAATATGGTTGAACAAATCTTGACCCAAAATGGCCTTAATTTAGGCCTTCATAGACCAAAGTTTGTTTTTACCTTATCTGAGTATGTGTTACAAACTAAATTTCCAAGGGGTTGGAAAATCCCTAAGATTACTAAGTTTGTTGGTGATACTAATGAGTCTACGGTCGAGCATATTTATCAATATAAATCAGAGGTTGCGGATTTGACCAATAGTGAAAATTTGAAGATCAAGTAATTCCCTAATTCTTTGACAAAGAACGCATTTACATGGTTCACCACATTACCTCCAAATTCTAAATGTAATTAGAATTAGTTGGAAAAAGTATTCCATGAACATTTTTATGTGGGTCATTCAAAGATAAGCCTGGAAGAATTAGCCCGTGTGAGGCGAAAATTGGCTGAGTAAATAAATGATTATCTCAATAGGTTCAGGATCATGGAGTTAAGATGCTTAACTCAAGTGCCCGAACATGAGTTAGTCGAAATGATTGTTGAAGGCTTAGACTATTTCATTAGGAAGAACATAGATAGCTAATACCTAAGGGATATGACCCAGTTAATCGATAGGGTTAGGCAGGTTGAAAGGTTGAAAGTTGAAAAGGCTAGGTCGAATAAATACCATAAGAAAGAAAAGTTGATTATGTAGAAATAAAAGAAAACGAACAAGAATCTGACATTGTCTTTGAATATGTCGAAGAAAATAAGGTTAATTTAGAAGAACAATG